TGTATCACGGTAATTTTGTATACTGAGTGACCAGCTTAATAAACGTTTATTATGCCCGTTGAAGTCAAATAACCATTGTAATGCACTATGATCTGTAATACATTCAAATTTCGAACCATCTAAATATATATGTAATTTTTTTAATGACCAGACAACAGCTAAACATAAGGTAAATCCGTTTCAGTTGAGTCCTAAACGCGAAAAATTCGGTACGGTTCGGGAGTATTGAAGTCTATTGCGACTGAAAACGCGTTTTTAAAAAGTTACGATGGTCATAAACGCGTTTCTCGCGAATTACTGATGGCAAAAACGCGGTTTTGATTAAGGCGTATATTTAAAGCTTAAGAAATTCCCCGTATTCATGGTGAAACTGTATATTCTCGCGCTCTATGAATGCTAAAACCGCGTTAAAACGAATTTTGAAAACATATAGGTGGCTTACTGGGTGGGGCCTCTTTTCAGAAAAACTTTTATAACTTCAAAACGAAAAGGACTTGAAACGAAAAAATTATAAGGTACAGCTAATTTTTGATGGTGCGTCAAATGGAGTAGTTATTACGAAATATAAGTATATTTTCTTCGTTTCCCGACCCATTTGACTAATGCCTGATGGCTTGGCAACTGACTCTTGAGCTCTTTAAAGAATTTAACTGTGATATCCAATGTGTTACGAAAAAGACATCATGAAGATAATATATGTCGTTTTGGGGGTCAATAAATAGCATATAGCAACTTAGAGATATTGATACTTGAGAAACATATAATTTATTATTTACTGTGAAGTTTTTTTACATAAAACCATAAAACAACTTTTATTTATGATATAATAAAAAAATTCCGTTGTTTTAAGGCTTTTACCTTTGTCATAGTCAGCATGGTTGAGTTTACTAATCAACTCATACTCATGGTTGTTGAATTTTATCAAAACTTTTAACTATTTCAGCCTTTTGTTCTTTGTTTCTACTTCTACGGTCCTACAAACTATTTACCAGTGCGTTTAATGATAAAACCCTTCCCTAACTGATTAACGGAATATGGTAAGAAAGTCAAAAAACTAAGCCATTTTCGATGCAAGGAACGTTTTTCATTTTTGACAAATATTATAAAGTCTTTTAAATTGTTCATGCCAAGTATGCCTCACAAACAAAGCATTCTGGAAAGATTCTGTTCATGAAAAGTTGTTCACAGTACTTGTGTCCACTAGATAAGATATTTTTCTCGCTTACTTCGCTCTTCTTGTTTCACGTGCATTATATCTATCAAGTAAAGAAAAAGTTCTGGATATTTTAGGTTGGATGGATTTATCTAACTGTATGATATACATAAACTGATTCTTCTACGCAATATCATCTTAGGAAATGCTCCGCAATACTTGAATCTTCATCTTCAACGTAGAGATCCCGGCCCGTAAACTTTACGATGCGTAAAGTTTCCTGTTTGGGCAGGAAATCTTTCCGACTGTTGACAGTTCTGATGCCGTCATTTTCCGTGCTGTTCGTTACCGTGGCTATGGGCTGTTCTCAATACCGCAGATTCTGTACGGTACTGGATGCAGTGGAAAGCCTGAACTGTGGTAGTCTAGTCACCAAACATGCAAAGAAATAAAGAATAAGCATATGCCACTTTACTTTGGATTTGGATTTCGTTTTCGTGTCACACAATTTGTTCAGAATTGGTAGGTGGAGGAAAAGCTTTGGGCCGAATACTCAAAAAAAATTTTCTATTAGGCCAATGCTAAGATCGCATTAGGCCATGGTCCCTCCCCTCGTAATTATGCCTATGTTCTAGAATGTTTATCTCGCAATGCATAGAAATGATCTACATCCATCCCAACTCTTTTCTATACATCAATTGAAGTCATTGTTTGACCAGTTATATCTATTTCATGTTCATGATCATGGTTATGATCTTGTTTTCCAATCCAAACACATACGTGGGTTCCAATATAATTGACATGAAACTGTTGTTGTCGTTGCTTCATTTGTCGTCTTAGTAGACGATCAACATTTGTTCGAAATTCTCTTGATAATTTTGTTATGGATCGATATTTTGCACCGATATCATATATTGATTTCGTTTTTAATACTTTCATTTGAATTTCAATTATGTTCACCATTTCTGTGAACAACATTGGCAACATATAAACAACATCGTTAACAAATTCAACTTCACATTCGAGATATTTCATATTTGTATTAAATACAGCTAAAAATTTTTTAAACATAATAGTACGTTTCATATACAAACGAGAATTAAATTGTGCCTGGCGATCTTGTTGAAGATACAGTTGCTCAATGTGATGATGAAAGAATGCACATAAACCACCATACGGCCCTGTTCATATATCATGTCAATACCTTTTACAAAAAAATTATTTTTAAGACGTTTTTCAAGACCTAAACGTGTACAAAGATGTGTTCTGAAATATGAGCTTTAATCACTTCCTTACAAAATCTCTTTTGCTCGACTTCAAATGCACCAAAACGCAATGCGTTCTGATGAAATCTGAAGATGTCGTCCAGTCTTTTAGGCACATTAAAAAAATCACCTACAGTCATGTCTTTCTTGAGTACAATTAATTAATTAAAAACGTCTTATACTAGTTCCGAGATATTCTAATGATAGACAGTGACTCATATGCGACAGTTTCTCTTATTATAAGTTTTAGCGTAGAATTATAAATTACACTCAACGAATTTTTGTTTTAAAAGGTACATACACATACAACTTCCATAGGGGTTCTTATGAATCATCCCAAAGTATAAAAACGATATCTGCGTATACATTTTTTCCAATTTTCAGGATATCCTAAGAAGTTGGACACAGAAAAAGTATAAGCAATCTTGAAAAGCAGCATCTTTTCGTAAGTGGTACAATTGCGTTTGAGAAAAACAGTGATTTTTCTTCAAAAATCCCGATTATTGAACTTTTACAATCGAACCTTAAAATATTCTAGACTTTTCGTGAAAATCAAACGTTTTTGTGCCTGCTTAATCTATTTAAAAAAATTGTAGTTATTTTAAGGCTCTGGTCAAGCTAATTTCTGGTCAAGTGTTTTTCCTCGTATGTGGATATTCCTAAAAGAGGATATGCGTACGTAAATTGTTTTCTTTCTAAAAAGGGCTGTACCACAAATATCTTTTTTGTTAAAATTGTTTGCCTATTACCTTGTTCACTCACAGACAAATGACAAAAGACTGGGGAAAAACCTTTGAAAATTATATTTTGGGGTTAATATAAGGTGATGAATGAACCCATATCATTTCCTTCAGAAAAATCGACTGTACAGTGGAAAAATTTTTATTTTATCTGACGAAAAGCAAAGTATAAAGCATGGCATTCGCATGATACATCAGGGCTTTGAAAGTTGTTAAAAATAGAATTATATAAATCGTTTGTCATCGCATGATCCTTCCTCTAATATATAGCTTTTGGTAGTAACTTAGGAGGGTAATACGCGTGATAAGTGAACAATTCGTATTGAAAGTCATTTGTTATTTTTAATAATACTGAATATGTCAAACGTAATATTTTCAAACTAGACATTTTTGAAAACAGAAGATAACTATTAATATCAATGGATGAAATTAAATACAAATCCACTA